CGCGGAGGTAACCCCCGGCTCGCGCTGCCATTGCCCGGCTCCCTGTCACTCAGCCCGCGCGGGGCCCCCGATTGGCGGCCTAGCCCCGTTACGCACTCGCCTCGCGTTCACATACCCGGGGAGGGCAGTAGAAAGGTGATCAATCTTCATCAGGCTACATTTCCAATCACCTAAACAACCGAGCAAGACAAGCCACTCCGACAAGGTAAATCGCTTGATTTATTTAGTTTGCAAAGTGACTCTGCAGGACTTCCCAGTCCCCACCGCCTCCACGTTGCACCGGGAGTGCCGCGGCGACGGCGAGCCACCTCCCAACTCTGCCCCTAGAACCCCCCCCGCGCCCCTTCGGCGCGATCCCGGGCGAGGCAGTGTCCTGAGAGCGTGTGGGGCTTTGCAAACCAAGTGTCTGTGCAATCAAGTGAACCCTGGGGGGACACGCACAAAGCCACCGGGGGAAAGACAGAGATGGGAGGAAGGAAGTTGGGAAAAGAAAGAAACCCAGGGGTCCTAGACCAGCCGCCCGGGTAATTCCTGTGCCGCTCTGTTTTGCAGGTTGGCTGCCCGGCGGGTCTCGGTGAGGGATCGAGGTAGATGGTGAGCGGCCCCGGCAGCTGAGGGCAGGTAAGGAGAAAGCCGCGGGGCCACCCGGGACTTCAGGAGTGCGCTGGCTACTCTTGCCTCCCCCTCCTCCGATGGACCCCCGCTTCCCCGGTCGCCGGCAGGTGGGCGGGGCTGGGGGAGCGGCCTGGCTCCCCACTAGGTGCGCTGAGGACCCCAGAGCGCTCCTGCGGCCCGGCGCCTCCTCCCCCGCCTCCTCCGAAGCAACCGAGCTGAAGTGCTAAGTTTGGAGAAAGTCTTTGAAAACTCACGCCGCAGCCTAGCAGAGCCGCCGCGGCTTGAGACCCGTTTTCCTTCTGCCCGAGAACCCTGGCGGTCTTCCGTCTCGCCCCTTCCCTGCCAGCTGGGCTGGCCCCGGCCTTGGGTCTCCGAGGGCGGGAGCAGGAGCAGGAGCGCGGGCTGGGGGAAAGCTGCTTCAGCTCTAACTTCCCTCCCTCGATTTCCCAGCCCAAGTCCCTGGCCTGCTTTACAGAGTTCCCGAGAAGCGGGGTGTACCGACAGGCCCTCCGGGGCCCCAGTCCCACTCCCCAGCACCCCATCCTGACCCCAGAGAGGGGCGCCTCGGGTTCGGGACAGCTGCGGGAGCGAGGCTTCCACCTTCCAGCTCCGGTCTGCGTGGGCAATGCCGCTGCGGCCTAGTTCTCCGTTCTCGGCCGGGTCCGGGGGCCCCGGGTTCAGCTAGTAGGACGGCGGGGAGCTCCCGCGACGGGCTGCACGCAGGCTCCCCACATCCGCGAGACCTTTTGGGGCGCCAGGCTGGTCGCCCTCCACCCCTCCCGGGACCCCGCGGTTCGCAGCCCGGGTGGGGCACAAAGAAGGCCTGGCGCGCGCGGGCGAAGAAGGGCCCTGGCCGCAGCTGAGGCCCCCTGATCTCAGGCCGCGTCGGGAAACTGCCACCTCTCCTGTGGCCCCTCTGGCGTCCCTTGGCCTCTTCTGCGGGCCCTGGGCCCCCGTAACTGCGGTCGAGGTGTGGTGAGATCCCGGTAAGCGACCCTTCAGTGCTGGGCGCAGAGAGGTCACCTGGGGTGGGGATTGCGGGCTCGGGAGCAGGGGCGCAGCCGTGGAGACCTTGGAAGGAACGAAGTCTCCTAAGGCAAGGCGTCCCCGAGGGGCCGAGGTGTGGACAGCCTTCCAAACGCCTCACCTTGGCTCTCTGTAGCCTATACCTTTTCGTCTCTCTTTCAAAAACATTTGAAACAAAACGAAAACAACCACTCATGTTCTGGGCGGCCTGCCGTCCGGGCGCCAAGTGAACGTTTCCTTGTACACCAGGAAGCCGGCTTCTCCCGGACTCAGAATTGTGCCTAGACCTGGAACCTCGCACTCCGCGGTTCAGGCTCTGACCTCCCCAGCCCGCGACGGCTTTTAACTTCTCCTCACTCCAGTCGACACCCTACGAGTGTCCGTGGCCCATTCCAAGCCTGAAAAGAGGCAGACAACCCAGGAAAGTTTACTTTTCACAGAAGCTGTGGTCTGGGGGCTAGGGCCTCGTGGAGCCGAGTTGACCGCCCTGCCCAGTTCTGTAGTCTGCGCCTCCTCTCCATCCCCGGGCTCCCGAACCCAGACAAGACCTGGACGCGGAGGTGGCTCCGACTGACGGTTTCCGTGTGTCTCATCTCCACAGGCCAGGCCCCCAGACGCAACAGAGCCTGAAGGACTGCGCGTGGGAGCCCTGCACCGCCCCTGGCCCCAGGCCCCCTGGATCCGTCGGGGCGCCTCCACCCAGCTGTTAGCATGATGTCTTACCTCAAACAACCCCCATACGGCATGAACGGGCTGGGCCTGGCGGGGCCCGCCATGGACCTCCTCCACCCCTCCGTGGGCTATCCGGGTGAGCACGGGCCCTTTCGCTCCTCCCCCCACCCCTTTCAGATGTTGGGGACCCCAGCCTCTGGGGTTTGAGCGCGCGCTTTGTTGTCGAGCAGGCCCAGGGAGGCGGCTGCATGGTCTGCTTCCACTACAGGACCCACTGCTGGCGCCCGCCCGGGGCAGTCTCCGGTCGACGAGGTGGCCAGGGCGGAGAGGATGTGCAACGTGCGCCTCCCCGGCCCGGTCCCACCGGCACCCTTTCCCTTGTTGGGGTCCTACCGCGAGCGCAGAGCTAATTTACCCACGGATTCGCTTCCTAGGGCTACTGTTGTTTTTTGTGAATCTGTTCCTCTCCCTCCAATACTTGAATGCGTAATGTGGACACTCGCTAGGCCCTGACATAAAGAGCCAAACTTTCCTTATGCTTAGCGGCGGACTGGACTGAAGGGGGATTCTTTCTCCCTAAATTGTCCTCTAGATCGATGGCCCACACCAATTTTTTGCACCGCTCCAGTGGACGGCTTTGGCCGAGCACTGGGTTTCTTTTCTCGCCCCCACTCCTTTGCCCCCATTTATGTCTTGGGAAAGTGTTTTCCAGGTCGTGTTCCTGCATCTCCTCCCCACCCACTGTGCCCCAGCTAAGGAGTGTGTGTTTGGGGGAGCGGGGGTGGGTGGAGGAAGGGAAACTGTGTGGCTTCTCTTACTTAACCCCTGAGAAGCAGAAAGGGGGCAGCCCTGGAGTCTTGAGACCCTGGCTCCTAGTCGCACACACGCACTTGCTCCCACCTGTGGCCTCTCAGGCTTGGACCTCCGGGGGAGTGTGTTTGGCTCCCAGTTCGGCTTTCTCTGGTGACGGTGGGCCCTGGGGCTGCCAGGCGCCTGCCTGAGTCCCCTAGCGCTGGCCCGCGTGACCACTGCTGACCCGAGGCGCCCCTGCGTGTTCCCGCAGCCACCCCGCGGAAGCAGCGGCGGGAGCGCACCACCTTCACTCGCTCACAGCTGGACGTGCTTGAGGCGCTCTTTGCCAAGACTCGCTACCCTGACATCTTCATGCGCGAGGAGGTGGCGCTCAAGATCAACCTGCCTGAGTCCAGAGTCCAGGTGCGCGTTGCCGGAGTTCCAAGGTCTGGGTAGGGGCGCTGAGGCTGGTCGAGCCGGCCTGGGAAGGGTGCGGGGCTGGGCTTACAAACTGGGCAGCCCCTCTCGGACTCCCCCTAGCGCTGGGCCCTTGCCAGGAAAATGGGGCGAAGCTAAAGGAAATTGCTTAGAGCCCTGGATCCGGCCCTTAGCCCTGGGGCGCCTTTGGTATCGGTATCGAAAGTCTTTTTTAGGATTGTGGGAGGATGGGGTAGGCTCGCGAATCAAAGTGCCCCGTGGGCCCGACACTTGCCCCTGCCTCTTCGGCTGCCCCGGGACTTGGCAGTTTCCCTCAGAGGTCTGAATTCTGCCTCCACCCTTGCCTTGCACCCCGGAAATCCTGGAAATTGAAGAGTGGAGATTGGCAGGAGCCTAGTGCTCTGCCTGGGTCTCATTAGAGCTTCCTCAGCCTGGCGAGGACACCAGGCGCAAAATCTGGCTACTGGCTTTACTATTTCTGCTTTTGAGATGCAAGGGCTCCGAAAATACTGTTCAGATTCGATCTCGGAACTCTCTCCAAGGGCCTTTTGTCTTGTCTTCTTTACGACAAAGCTTGAGAAACGACCGGGACGCACTGCCATGTGCTCGGGCCCCCCAAAAGGAGTGGGAGCTTGATGACTGACCATCCCATTTGGCCCCCCACCTGGAGTCAAAAACCTCAACGAAATCTCATCCAGGCTTTCTTCTCGGGTCCCCTGAGTGCTTGAGGTCTGCCTCTGCTCAGCCTCTCACCTTGCTCTGGCTCCCACCCAAACATTAGCCCTGCCCAGTTCTGGCCTCCAGGAGCTGACTTAATGAAACGGCTGCGGCCCCAAACTTGGTGACTGTCACGCACTCCGCCGCTCTGTACCTCTCCACTGTTTCCTGAGCTCTGTTCACAGAAAACGGGGCCTCCAATCATACATGGGGCTGCGGGGAAGCAGCCAACAGCAGCAATTTAGGGACGGCAGAACTTCTGGCCGGACAGACGCAAACGTTCCGCCCTAGGGCAGAGAGTTGCGCTAGGAGTGGAGAGAGGCGCATCCCTTCTCCGCGCCAGCTGAGGAGGGGCTTTGAGCAGAAGGATGGGGGAGGGTGGAGGAGCTGGGAACTGCGGGGGTGGGGGCGGGGGCGGGGTGGGGGTCAGGCCTGCCGAAGATGGGGATGGGCGGAGGCCTCAGTAGGAAAGGGATGCGAGATCCTGGGCGGGGAGGTGGGTCCAAGGGGCGGGGGCGTGGGAAGCTCCGCTCGCCCGCTGACCCGCTCTCCCCCTTGCGACCCACTGCAGGTCTGGTTCAAGAACCGCCGCGCCAAATGCCGCCAGCAGCAGCAGAGTGGGAGCGGAACCAAGACCCGCCCAGCCAAGAAGAAGTCGTCCCCAGTGCGGGAGAGCTCGGGCTCCGAAAGCAGCGGCCAATTCACGCCGCCAGCGGTGTCCAGCTCTGCCTCGTCCTCTAGCTCGGCGTCCAGCTCCTCCGCCAACCCAGCGGCTGCAGCGGCTGCCCGCCCAGGCGGGGACCCGGCGGGGGGCGG